GTAGAATTTGTCTTTGGATTCTACTGAAGATGATAATGTCAGTGCATATGCGCTAATAAGAGTAACCAGTCCTGCTGATGAGTGGAGCTGCAAGGACAGAATTATTTCACTTCCTGCAGCAGGTGGAATAATGAATCCTAGTAGGGTGTTTCTGACCGCAAAGCCAACCCCATATTCCCTAGTCTCATTTGATGGTTTTCCCTGCCAGAAGAACGAGAAGTTTCTGTCCTTAACAGATCCCGAGTCTGACAGCCTTGTCTCTTGGAGGGCAACGATGTCCATCTGCAGTCTGCTCAGCTCCATGTCAATGACAGCTGTCATATGTACATCATCTATTTCTTGCGAATCGTTGGAAAGGCCATGGGTCATTGTCCAAAGATTCCAAGCGCCCAGCTTTAGGGCTAAAGTTTTTTTTATAGTTGTTGCATGTTGCAGAGTTATCGATCTGCTTGTTGGCTTTGACCCTAAACCCCACGCACCCTGTGAGGTTGACAGACCATGGCAGGGCAGCACCTTACTGACTGGAGGCTGTCCAGCTTAAGGCTGGCAGTAGCTGCCCAATGAGGTACAATGACCTCTCCCACCATCGAAAGTGGCCCCTGGCAACATGCTCTACACCAATCAAGCAAAGACTTATAACTGGTAACTGCCATTTTCCGTGTTGTTTCAATGCTGTATGCAAAGCTGGAGTGTCCTCTCCAGAGCACAAGGCCTGGGTAGATTAATATGGAGGATAGTCTGTTACCCAAGCGGCAGATCCACATCGCTGTAATAGTCCAATGGAACGGCAGAGCCAATATGATTGGCTTCAGCTGTGTTGCAGGAGTTACCAGAATGTGATTGTACACAGTCACAAACTGCTTCCAGGACTCCGGCTCCGGATTTTGCCTTGAGGTTGACTCCTGAAGCCTTTTCCAGTAGTGGATATAGCGACAAGGCAGTGGAGGTTTGAAGTCAGAATTTCCCTGGAAAGTAATCCTGGAAAGGGCCCCTTACAAGGTGCTACCAGCCGGGTCAGCTGGACCAAGGTTTTTTAGGGAGGTATTACTCCTCCAGCACTCCTCCTCACTCCAGGACTCCTGCTCCAGATTTTGCTTCGAGGTTGACCCCTGAAGCCTTTCCCACAGATGGGTATAGCCACAAGGCAGTGATTGGAGTTTTCCTTCTCCTACATGGGTTGCCTTCCAAGGCTAACAGGCACCGTCTAACTGGCTTCTTTTCCCATGCACACAGCTAACAAAATTTCCCACTTACACTCAATCAAACAGCCACTCTCCCCTCCCCCTAAAAACAAACAGATTCATCCATGAGATGAGCTGGAGCACCTTCCTCCCTGCAGTCACATGATTCACTCACTCAAACAGACACTCAACTTCCCCCTAAAAACAAGCAGATTTGGAAACAAACAAGAAATGGAAATTGATGAAAATTTTAGAATATATACAAATTATTCAAGATTTAAGCTTCCAAGAGAAGTGCACGTTATGTTTGTTAAAAAATTGATAAGAGACAAGAGCAAGGCAAGGGATGAACCACTGGAATACAAAGGGAAACAATTGGTAGTCTTGAAGTAGATCCCTAGGAGAGTAAGGGAACTCTGAAAACAACATCATTTCCTGACTACAGTGCTGACCAATTACAGTGTAAATTTTAGATGGTTGATACCGGAAGGAATATCAGTTACCTGGCATAAAAAAAGACATAGACTAGACTCACTTGATAAAGCAATGGAATTTTATGACAACTACACAGAAGAGGAACAATAAATAAGAAGAGAAATAGTGTATAAAGTGCTAATGACAGAATATGTGTCAGCTCCGCCCAGCCCAGAGGCCCGGAGCTGCCATTCAGGGGAGAAAACTGGGCCAGCTGCCAAGACTCACCAGATTTCCTTCCTTCACAAGCAGTGCAGCTGAGTAATCTACAAGGCTCTTGATAACTGACTGAAAACAATCCATGATTAATTGCTGGGTGGTTTTCGTTCTGGGTCACGAGGGGAGGGATGTGTGCATGCACAGGGTGCAGTTTATCCTAATTACCAGGTAACTATAAAAGGTGGTGGGGAGCACCAGGTGGCAGCTCTGACAATTTATTCATTGCCTTAGTGCTTTGTTGGTCAGTACATGCTGGGGGAAGAAGACAAAACTGCATTTTCAAATGGTTTCTGGGTTTGGCTGTTTTCATTAACCCTTCAGAACCTGACAATACGAAAATATTTGTCTTATAGGAGACTTTAACCCAATAGTCGACACAAAACGTGACTACAAAAGTAGTTAAGTAAATAAAAAAACAAGAACGACCCTGCCCAGAACCTTTGTTAAAATGATAGAACTATTGATACAAGATACATGGAGAGAAATAAATCCAGGGAAAAAAATATACATTTTATTCAAATGTGCATCAATCCTGGTTGAAAATAGATGATTTGGATGACTCTGGAACTGAGGGCAAACATACAGGAGATAGAAATAGAAACAAACCTATGGGCTGATCACAATCCAATTGAAATTTGTTGGAAGGGACAAAAAAGAAAAGCAAGGTGTACTTTAAATCAATCTATAAAAAAAAGACAAAGAATTTATACAGATGATGGAAAGAGAACTGGTTTTTTTTACAGAGAATACAAAAGAAGAAACCTCACTACAGAATGTGTGGGACATAGCCAAAGCATATATCAGAGGATTAGCTATAACCTACATAGCAAAGAAAAACAAAAAAAAAGAAACAATACCAAAAGACTTTGGAAGAAGAATATAAAGGACTAGAAATAGAGTTACAAAAAGAACCACACAAAGCATGCTTAAAAATTCAAATGGAGATGATTAAACATAAACTAAACATAATGCAAAAACATGAACTGGCATAACAAATAAAAAGAGCAAAACAAAACTTTTTTGAAAATGCTAACAAACACGGAAGATGGTTAATCTATAAACGGAAGAAGGAAAAAGAGAAGAAATGGATAAATAAATTACAAGATAAGGAAGGTATATTACAATACCCCATGGAACGATCTCCCCGTGGAGATCCGGACCCTTACTACTCTTCCAGCCTTCCGCAAAGCGATTAAGACCTGGCTGTTCCGGCAGGCCTGGGGAATTCTGGGAGTTGAAGTCCAGACATCTTCAAGTTGCCAAGTTTGGGATGCTGGCTGGGGAATTCTGGGAGTTGAAGTCCAGACATCTTCAAGTTGCCAAGTTTGGGAACCACTGCCCTAACAAATGACTCCGTG